AGTTAGTGTATCAAACATTAGGTAAGTGTAATGAATATCAAGTGTAAGAATCTAATGTATAAAAGGTTAAATACAAAGATGTTAGGAGTAATATTTCATACTGCACTCATTTCAACACAGCATGCAATCTTAATAGGTCATATAGACAACCATTCTCTGAACTAATAGACTTAGGTGCTATTTGATAAAACTTTTAAGATTTGAATTTTAAGTATTGAAATTTTTAAGTGGTAATTAAAAAAATAAATATTTTTTCATATTTTTTTGAATTTTCATGTTCCGTATTCAGTGATAAGTGATGTCCCAGTCACTTAAAATTTTACCTCATTTTAAGTGGTGCTTACCGTTTTAAATGGTATTCAAATTTTGTTATCAAACACACTTAATTGGATAAGTGCTTAATCCATTCAGAACTAAGCGCTAAATTGAATAATCAAAAAGCACCTTAGTTTAAGTTACAAATATAGAACAAAATTAACAAGTGGAATCCTACTAAAATCAAATCAAATCCTTTTCTTTTGTTTTATTTATTATAAAAAAATAGAGATAAAAAGAAAACATGAAGAAAATCAAGGAAAAAATATTTAATTTTATAGGAGTAAAATAATTTTTTCTTTATTATTTTTATTCTTTTTGTTTATTCGCTTCCTCACTAAATCAGATTAGTGTGGCCCAAGAACAAAAGACTATTTACATGACAATATATCAAGGTTCTGTGGTTTATTAACAAGACTGTTTATACAGAGCAACTCCAATGACATATCCAAAATTTGGCAATCCAAATTTCCCGGTCAGCATTTTCCAATGTCCACATCATCGTTTTCGATAGTTATGTCAATGTTTTGGACTCTCCAAATTTTAATTATCTATTCTAATGGTGCATTTCTGCTCTTACAAAATTTTAATATTTTTTTAAATTTTGAATATATATTTTTCAACTTTATTCCAACGATTATATTTCTAAAAGTGATATTATAAAATGAAATTAAACAATACAAAATCCTTTATACATTAAAATAAACTAAGACAATATTATGTAATTTTATGTAATTCAGGTGTACAAGGTATGTGTTCTGTTTTATACCAACCCTTGATCCTTTGTCCTTGTGGTTTGTCTTTAACACTCGAAGCCAAGAAAGCTACAAAGTAGAGCTGGATTCTAATTTATCTTGACATTAGGCAGGTGTAATGAATATCAAGCATAAGAATCTAATGTATAAAAGGTTAAATAAAAAGATGTTGGAGGGAAGTTCAAATAATATTTTCATAATGCAACCATTTCAACACAACATGCATTATCTTAATAGGTCATACCTACAACAACTTGTTGAACTCTTAGACTTGGTTTAAGCTACATATATACAACAAAATTAACAAGGGAAATCCAACTAAAATCAGGTGAAATCTTTATTTTTTATTTTTTGGACCTGGGCAAAATTAACCAGGGAAATCCTGCTAAAATCAGGTGAAATCTTTATTTTTTATTTTTTGGACCCGGGCTCTAAAAAATAAAAAAATAAAAAATAAAAATTAGTACTACTATTTCCTATTAGTTATAACCCAGCACAAGCTGTCCAATCCATAATAAAATATAAATGATAAATGGTCCAGTCCAGAAAACAAGCCTACAAACAAATTAGAACTAGAGATTGAAGAAGATCTATGGGCTGTTTGGCATGATGTGGTATTATTTTTGGTGTTTTCATCTCTTTGCTTGAATTTTTTTTTTTTTTTTTTTTTTTTTTTTTTTTTTTTTCAGTAAAATTCTCTAATTGAATTTTTCTTTAGCCCCTTTTATTTTCAAATCCCAACTCCGCCCCTGATTAAAAAGAAAATTGGACGAAAATCAAAGGAAAAATATTTAATTTTATAGGAGTAAAATCATTTTTCCCTTCCAATTTTTTTTCCTTGCTTCCTCACTAAATCAGATTAGTGTGGCCCCAAGAAGTACAAGACTTACATGACAATGTATCAAGCCTATATTCTATGGCTCAATCACAAGACTACTTATCTCCAAAATTTGTAATTCCAAATTTGGCACGTCACCATTTTCCAAGAGTTGCTTTTCTGTTTTGGACTTTCCAAATTTTATTTATTGCATGTTACATATCAGGGACCCTTGACATGAATAGATGCGTCACAAGTTTTGTTTATTCCATTATTTTACCCGATGGAAAAGAAACAAGTGGCGAGTTTTGACAAAGCTTATCATATTGATTTAATGTTCTAATTGTCCAAGGAAAAGAAGGTGTGACATGGAATTGTTAATATGGTTCTTTAAATAGAAAAGAGGTACGACTTGCCATGTTAGACTACAATATTGATAAATATTCCACCTTGGAATATTTTATGGGAAATTAAAAGACAAGTGGTGAGTCCCTTTAGGACTTACCAAATTTAGGATATAATGTCCTAAAAGGAAAAGAAAAATGGCGTGGAGTTGTTATCATGAGTACAATCTCATAAGAATGCTAAAGTTAGTCAACTAATAATTTATCGACACCTGGCGAGCTTTATTAAACTTGCCACGATGGATTAATTTTGTTAAAGTTGAATTTATTTGGAAGATCCTATTTTAGTAGGATACCAATTAAATAAAAGTTGACTAAGTCATGGGGACGTGGAGGCAACCTTTTCTTTATTTTTAGGAGATTTCAACAATGGTTCAGCCTAGTCAATTTCTTACTAAAATTTAGCAAAATGTGGGATTTATTTTATTTCTTTGATACACACACACACACACACACACACACACACATATATATATATATTAGGCTTAAACCCACGATGAAGGAATCACCGTGAAAAGGGAGTCCATGAAGCCATGAGGTCTAAAGCCAGAAGAAGTCAAGGGTGAAGAGAAATTGCTAAAATTAAGGAAGAGAGCAACAACCATAACCCACGATGTAAACTCGGTGACCATGACGCCATGGAAGGTTCAGCCTAAAATCAAGGAAATTGTGGTCTAATGTGTACAAATATACTCTGGGAAACTACCCACGATGGAGAAGTTGCTAAAATTAAGGAGGTCATGGCACCATGAACTCCAAACTTTAGAAGGAAAGTCTCAAGATGGAAGTTATGCACGATGAGGAGTTTTATCAGAAGTAAGAAGCCACGACGCCATGAAAGGAAGGTTCCTAGCAGAAGTGAAAGATTACTAGAAATCATGGGACACTTGGCTAAACAGGGATATATCGGTTGTAAGTGGTGGAAACCTATAAGGAAACTACCACTAATCAAGGGAAGTTCTCAAGGGTCATGGGTGACAGGGCAGCAGTTGATGAAATCGTGTCTGAAATTAAGGAAAGGAGTTGATGACGTGAGGAAGAAGAATAAAATCATGGGACACTTACCAAGTCACGAAGAGAACACGTGGGAATTTATTCTGAAATTACCCATGACATAAAATTGTTGAAGACAAGAGAGGACGTGGTTGAAGTCTACAACAAGAGATGGATAAGATAGGAGAAGTTACAACTATTGAGGAATCATGGGACATGTGGCAGTTCGGAACCATTCCACGTGGAAGCTGCTGAAGTTGCCACACCTAGTTAATGCATGCATGGAAAGCTCTTTAAATAGAACACTTAGGCTTCACTTGCAAACCCTGTTCAAATCACACAGCAAAACAACACTTTCAATTCCTTACATTCATGTATCTTTACATTCATGTAATGCAATTTCATTATGTTTAATTCAAGTCCTGCACTTATCTTTCTTACTTTCTAAGTCCTGCACTTCAATTCCTTTACTTTGAAGTCCTGCACTTTCAATACCGCTTTCTTTTCCACTAGCCATAGTTTAGTCCGAAAGTCCTTTTTCAAGGCAAAAAGAACATTTGAAAGTGGTAATTCCAGTCCTTCATTCAATCGCCTGATCCCTGCAATTTCCTACTAGATAGTTGTTCGGATATCCACTTTGGAACGACAGCAGTTCTTGGCACGCCCAACATCCACTCCTGCTTTCTACTCACCTGGAAAGCGGAACTAGCGTTTTTTCGCGAGCCGAACATTCTTGGCACGCCCGGCGGGACTTCTTAACAGATTGTTCAATGGCTGGTGGAAGAAGGCAAGGCAAGTCTGTCCAAGACCCTGCCGAACTAGAAGAGATGCAAGTCAATGAACTTTCAGTGGAAAGTTCACGATTCGCACCCGATGAAAATGATATGGTGGAAAAATTTGCTCAAACAATGGCAAATGGACCCATCATGGACAACATCCGCATGATGGCAATGCAACAAGATAGGTTTGCGCAAGACCAAGCTAGAGTCGCCCAAGACTTAGCCAGAGTTGCGCAAGATCAATCCAAAGCTAGTCAAGACCATGCAAAAGCCGCTATTGCTAATGAGCGGAAGTTAAAAGAAATGGTAGACCGAATCTCTCAAAGGTTCGAGTCTATGTTGGAAAGGTCCTTTGGAGGTTTGTCTCAAATTTTGGCCCCTCGGCCAAGCAACTCTGAAGGGTCTCAACAGTCGGCCTTCCAAGCTAGTAGGCCGGCAACATTTGTTGAAGGGAGTTCCTCTCAGCAACATACAAGGCCACTCCCTCTAACTCAGCAGCAGGTGCAGTCTCTTCCAATGGCACAGACTTACATTCCAGCTGCACCTATGACTGCTTTAGTGGCACAGATGACTGTTCCACAAGTTGCGCCCATGCCAACCATTCAGTAAGTTCAGAATCCTCCACTTGTGGCATTTCCACAGCAGACTTGGCATGACTACCTGGCCAACCATGGCCATACCACAACCCACAAGCACTACAGATTATTCCACCTGTGAACATTCAGCCAGCCACACCTGTTCCGGCAAGGCCATCACCTATGGTCATTCCTATGGCGGTTGGGGGGCAACCTTTTCCAAGGGAGCCACTTATTGACCAAGGAGGAAGGAATCGTGGCAGGAACAACTATGCAGATGCCAACCCATTGCTTATGGCGGGCGGAGGCATCAAGTAGCCAATCAACCTCAAGGTTGGCTAGACAACAACTCTCCACAACCTATGGCACTTGATAGAGGCCAATTTGCGGAATTCCTTCAGCAGGAATTTGGCCTAACTCGAATGGGTGGAAGGCCAACTTACAGAAAGCCCTATCCAGAGTTCATTGATGAAGTTGAATTTCCAAGGAATTTCAGAATTCTAGAGTTTGCAACGTTCAATGGAGAGGGCGAACAATCTACCTTGGAACATATCAGTCGGTTCACTGTCCAGTGTGGAAAAGCAGCAGCCAATCCATGGCTGAAGGTACGTTTGTTTCCAAATACACTGACTGGGTATGCTTCAGGTGGTATTCCAACTTGCCAGCCAACTCCATTTAACGTTGGCAGCAATTTGAGGATTTATTCCATACTCAGTTCTATAGAGCTGACCTTGAAGTGTTAATGGCAGGCCTTTCCAGACTTCATCAACTACCTAGAGAGTCTGTGATGAGCTTCTTTTCCAGATTCAGGCGGGCCAAGTTCAAATGTAATTTGTCTTTGCCACCGGAAGAATATGTGAAGATGGCTGTGAACGACCTAGAATTTGAACTTTACAAGAAGTTTGAAGGTGTACAGATCCATGACTTGTTCGACTTGGCTGGCAAAGTGGCTAAGTATGAAGAGTTCATTCGTGAGGAGCAAGATAGGAAGAACTATTCCAAAGGCACTTATTATCGTGATCCTAACTATGAGGTGTATACCACTGAAACTGAATGAGAGTTTGAAGTCAACGTAGCCAAGCTCAACATAAAGAAGGCTTACACTTGTGAGGCCTTGACAAAACGGAAATCAATCACGGCCAACTTGCAGGCCGCTTCTGGTTCTAAGTGGAAGGGGGCAGACTCTTCCAGAAGTTATTCTTTTGACATTTCTAAAGCCGAGCAAATCTTTGATTTGCTCATGGCTGACAAGCAACTGATTTTCACAGCTGGCCATAAGATGCCGTCGGCTTCAGAAATGGCCGAGAAAGAGTATTGCAAGTTCCACAATTTGTGGAAGCATTCCACTAATAATTGTGTTATCTTCCGTAACATTGTGCAAAAGGCAATCGAAAATGGCCGTTTGAAGTTTCCAGAAAAATCAGAAGTCATGGGTGTTGATGGAAATCCTTTCCCCAAGGTTGTTGCAACAAACGTTGCTTCTATGGTTCAGGAGCATTCCAAAAAGGAAGTAGACTTGGTAAATCCAGCGACCAGTGGAAGGTTGGAAATTCCAAAGACGGCAACATCTATGGAAAAGACAGTAGCTGAATTGGAGAGGCAACTCCGAGAGGCCCAGATTGCGTTAATCCAATAAGGTTGCTGCCCCAAGTGTAAAGTTCAGAATGAAGGTTGCTGCCCCAAATGTAATTTGGATTAACGTATGGATTAACCCTATAAGTTAAGTCCATCACCTACTTGTGTCATATCAATCAAATGATTGAATGACTTAATATGGTTTCAGGATGGATTTGCTTTACATTTATCAAACCACTTTTCAGATGGTTGATATTTTGTAATAGGAGGACACGGACTTTATATGTTTATTATATGTGTCATGGTATGAGCTTGAGTCTTAGGACCATGGTTAGGGTGCGTATATTGCCTAGGATGGATAACTGGACAGAGGTGTTGTTCCCTGGTAGGTCTAGATACACATGACCACAGTATGTGCGATTTGCATGGTATCTCTATTCAGGCTGAGACAGAACTTTTTGGACTAGTGAGCATCCTATAGTGTGTACTTATACATATATGGACTACTCTAGATATTGTTGAGTCTTTCTAGTATGTATCTGCGTATCGGATTCCTGTTTGGATTGTAGTAGATCAGGACTTGCATGTGGGCCTGACCCACCCTTATATTTTTCAGGTACTCGTCAGTTCCAGAGTTAGAGTTTGATCGTGCAGAGCAGATACAGACTTCTATTCTACCGACAACGTAGGACTTCTTTCCAGATATTAGATTTGGATTTTATCTTCAGTTTTCTTCCATGCATTTTGGGATTTTATTAGGGGTCCACTAGAAATGGATTCCCGAGTTGTTAAACTTATGGAGTTTGGATTGTCAAGATTTAAATATTTATATTTGAGGATTTATTTTAGTTTCTTTCCGCTTATTATTTTTATTTCTTATTTTATCTTGTACTCTGTGTTCAGTTACATATTAATTGTTTGATATTCCCTCGGGCTCGGGCCTGGGCCTGATCAACCCGTGTCTCGGATCCGAGGGGTATCACAGTCAACCATTCCATAATTATGGAATATAATTGACATCAGGAGCTCCTCCTAATGAACCGTAAAAGAGTACAACGAATCCTAATATGGCTCTAAGTTTTTAAGAGACGCAACGCGGAAGACTTCTAACAAAAGACACTCCTAAGGACACTAGAACCTGGAGTGCTCTGATACCAACTGTGATACCCCTCGTTTCTAGAGCCACGGGTGATCAAGTCCGAGCACAGATCCGAGGGATACCAAACAATCAATATGTAAACAAGCAGGAATAAAACTGAAGTAAGATTTAAATAATAATACCCAGAAAGAATACTAATATGAAAATCCTTAAACCTTAAATAATAATTTAATATAATTTAAATCCGTACAACTCGGGAATCCACCTGGTGGACCCCTAAATACAAATCTTTAGATAAATTTACAGAATTAAAATCCAAAACCATAATCGGAAGGAAATCCTATGTAACCGGTAGAGTTAGTGTCTGTATCTGCATCAACACGATCAAACTCTAAGCTGGAACTGGCGAGTACCTGAAAAATAGGAGTGGGTCAGGCCCACATGCAAGTTCCAATCTACTACAATCCGTACATAAACCCGATACGCAGATACATCCTAGATAGCTCGGCAATATCTACAATAGTCCATATATATATATAAATACACACTATAGGATGCTCACTAGCCTATAACATAGTTCAGCCTGGGTAGAAGGTGACATATAAAACACGCTTTTCAGTGGCCAAGTACCTAGACCTACCAGGGAACATTAGTTATATCTAGCTACTCAACCTTTGCAATATACGCACCCTAACCATGATCAGGAGACTCAAGCTCGTATTACGGTACCATAAATATATATATAAATTCCTTTCTAGTGCAGAGATAAAACAAATATCCATTATGTCGTTCAACTGTTTTAGTTGACAAGGCATGCATCTATGTAGGATTTAACTGTTTTAGTTAATCCATTCCTTATGTATGAAGGGGTAGGACTTAGCTTTTTGATCTAATCCCTCTCTGATATGTTACCGTCCCATACCGGTACATATAATGCAAATGATCCACAAATGATGCACATTCATTAGAACATCAAACATATCCAGAAACCAGCATAATAGAAATCAGATATTATTAAGATCCTATCATGCATCCAGTATATGATTAAACCATAAATCCTTCCTTTAAATTGTTAAAGTAATGATAAACAACTTAAATTATCCAATTCCATACAATTGATCGAATATAAATTTTAACAGTTCATCAAATAACATCCATAGCACAATATAATGACAAATAGAGTTATTACTATGCACATTATACTAGACTGCCAAAAATACCTCCATACTAGTCCAGTTCGTTTGCTAAAACAAAACTAATAATCGCAACCTACATCATCCTTGACAGCATGCCAAGTAATGCTTAAATTACATGATGTCCTTTTAATCCTCACTATAGATCATGTGTCTAATATAATGACACTCAGAAATCTACCCGAAGTACATCTTATGAATCCCCAAAAGTATTCCCATACAAGTCCATTTAGTTCGCTAAAATAAAGTTAGCAACTAAAACTCCTACAACTCCTATCGGCATGCAACCTATCAATTAAAATTACATGACGACCCTAACCATAGCATAAACAACCCTCTTGGAACTGAAACATGTCATTTATATCATTGGTATAAATTCCTAACACTTACCTTTATAGCAGTTCATTTAATTTGCTAGCCAACCAACGATTCCAGTTCTCCTTCCTTCTTGACAGTATTGAACATTCTTATTTTAAAATTTATGTTGTCCATTCCCATGACCTGAATCAATACATCTTAGGTCTTAAACATCCTCTGTACACTATTTAAGAACCCCCATGAAACTCCAAAATTACCCTTTTACCCTTGAAGTATCAAAAATCACCAGAAAGACCCCCGGAGGGGTTTCTGTTCAAAGGAGCCAGCTCCCCCCCATGGGAGCCGGCTCTTCATCTTCCAGAGCCAGCTCTCCCTCATGGAGAGCCGGCTCTACCTTCTTGGGAGCCGGCTCCTTCATTTAGGGAGCCGGCTCTCTTCCCCTGAGAGCCGTCTCTGCTCCATTGCTTCGTCTCTGCTTCGTCCGGTTGCCGTCTATGCTTCCGGCGAAGTCCAGTGTTCTATTCCAGAACTTTTTAAGGTTCCATTAATGCTCTTAAACCGCTAGAGACTCCTCCTATCCCAATGTGAACCAATTGACAAACAAAACTTAAACTACACACACAATTTATGCAAGAATAAGTTTAAACTTAAAACGCAGAACAGATTTCAGAAAACACCAAGCATGAATAAAGTCTATTTTTAAAAGTTTATTTAAGTTCCTGGAGTCTATATAAGATGCACAGAACACAAGTTTACAGGAGAGGAATAGGCTGAAACTTGCCTTTAGATTTCGGTGTGAAACCTTAAGCGTCGTCTCTAAATTTAAGTTTCAAAATACTCTAAGTCTGTTTCTCCTCTGCTTTGCTCACAGTTCCCTTCCTCTATTGCTTCTTGGTTCCATCCAGAAGCAACCGCTCTGTTCTTCCTCCAGTCTTCCTCCTTTAGCCTCACAGATTATATTCCGAGACTCTCTCTGTTTTCCTCTAAAAGAAACTATTTCGTGAATAGGGTTTTTTTTTCCTAACAGACGTAAAAGAACATAAATATATATAGCCGTCTATAAAACCCCAACCCTAATTCCAATCCTAACATGTGACGGCTAAAACTCACAAAAGAAAACCCTAAATTTACACTATATATAAAACCAAATAAAACATATAATCCATTTGAACCATAAATTAATCAAATAATTAAATTAACTCACAAATAAAACAATTACAGTAAAACCACAAACTAATCAGATAATTTAAATTAAAACAATTTCAATTCAACAATTAAATTAAACACATAAATTATAATTAAGCAATTAAGCAAAACAAATAACAAATAAGTTCAATTATTAAATTAAAAAAAAAAATGAAATACAAATCAAAATTGAAAATTAAATTCCCATTCCCATTTTATCCTTTTGAAAACTAGGGGTATTATAATGACTTAGCAGCTCAAACCTTTGTACATCAAGGTGCTAGTGGAAGGAAGGCCCTTGGCAAGAGTTCTGGTTGACAATGGTTCGGTGTTGAATGTTGGTCCAGTCAATGTTATGCGCATGCTCGGAAAGTCTCCTGAAGATATCATTCCAACCGATGTGTCCATTAGTGGATTCACGGGAGGAATAGTTAAGACGCAAGGAATCCTACCGTTGGAGTTAACGGTGGGAGATAGAACTTCCATCACAACCTTCTTTATTATTGAGTCCACAGCGGCTTATAATTTGCTTTTAGGCCACAAATGGATTCACCCAAATTTTTGCATTCCATCTTCGCTCCATCAAATACTAATTTTTTGGGATGGAGATGAGGTAAAAGTGGTGGAAGCTGATAGCCGGCCATTTGTGGTAAGGATTTACCATGCAGATGCTGAGTTGTATAGTGAAGAATTCGTTCTAATCAAATTTATTGGAAAGGATAGCAAGGGCCGTCCAAGGAAGGCCACCATGAGAAGGACTCTTACGGAAGAAGACGTAAGGGAGTTTTTCCAAGAAACACCAAGGCTAACAATTCTACCCAAGGCCAGTGTTCAGTAATACATTTCAAACAAAAGTTTTTATGGAAGAGAAACCTAAAGAAAATAGAATACTTGGCCAGGCGGTTAACTGCTGCCTTGCCAGGTTGAAAGCATATCTAGCCGAACTACGATTGGAAAGAGCTGCTGTTACTGGTACTTCATTTTCAACCAATGTTTTGGAGATTATGGAAGATGCTAAAGACAAGTTGGATGCTATCCAACTAATAGACTTAAAGGCAGCACCAGTGAAGTTGGATGACCTCAAGGCCGAAGTGCAAGATCCTTTGTTGGAAATCAATCTTGGAACGGAGCAAGACCCTCGGCCTACCTACATCAGTAAGCTTTTGGAACCAATCTTTAGAGATAAATTGATTTCTTTACTTGAAGAATACAAAGATTGCTTTGCATGGACATATGAGGAAATGCCAGGACTTTCCAGAGAGCTGG